TATGGACTAATTAGCCAGCATTCCGTCGCAAATCCAAGCGAAGCATTTCTGGTCCAGCAATTGAGTGAGAATCGAAGTTAAGGGTAGCATGCAGAAGAGAGTCTCCAATAATTAATTGTTTTCAATAAGGATCAAACTTGTGTTCTCCATGTGTTTTTATTATGCTAGACAGTTGGTTTTCTATTTATTTGATTTGTTTTTGTGGCACTTTTTTACCTTAATGGAGCTCTTTGTGTTACATTTTCTTCCTTAGCTATTTTTTTCTTGATCAACTATCAATACACAAATACAACATGGAGACTTTGCCAATGAGTAGGATACGTATATGATATCTGCTAACTACATGCTCTGAAACGTCATATACTAAATTAACATTTATATTGTTATACCTTTATGTAATTTGATCTACAAATGTTCACGACAACATTTTGACCTTTATATTCATAAACCTAGAAACATATGTAACACATAATACTCTTTAAATACTGTGATCTATACTACATGGTGTCAATACCACATGTATTTGCAACAGATCACACGCTCTAATTATATAACAAAATTATATTTCATATAAAAATACAAGTAAATGGACGATTAAAGATTCCGTTTAAGATTTGTAATTTTTTTAAGTTAGTTGTTTATGTAGGTGGGAATGTTTATATATTTGAAAAGTTTTGTGAAACCGGGAGTCAAACAATTAAAATATTTTAAGCTTGCCGCCATGTCCAATTATAAGATTTTGAATTATCGAATGAGATCGCCGGAGTATCTTAGATTGGTTCAGATTTGGAACTAGAACATGTTAGACTAAGGAATACCTAAATAGCAATGAGCAATTCAGTTAGATAGATATTACCTCTTTCACAAAGACGACCTCTAGTGAAACATCCCCTGTGTAAGCTTCAAAAAGAAATCAGGACATCCATTAGCAGATAAGCAGGTATTGCCAAACATGTATTGTGTTTTTCCTTTGACCAAATTTTTTTTTCTAGATGTTTACGTACCTTAAACCTTTTTGTTTATGCAGTTTATGTCAGGATGCGTAATAAAAACGAACGTAGTGACAAGTCTTATAAGAACACTAAACCTCAGTCACGAGGAAGAGGAAATTGACCTCAAGTAACAATCCAAACTCAGAACCGGTAACAGACACCCATCTCCTTTTTTTATTTTATTATCTAATTGATGAAGTAGAATAATGATGATATTTGGTTTTCATGGTCAGGTCAAAAATCAATCTGAAAACAAAGGAGATGCTGCGAAAGTCACTGCGAAAGCAAATTTCAACCTAAGAGAAGCAGAAAGAAAACAAGGGTGTTAACAATGAACCAAATGCAGCAACGAGAATGAGTGGACCATGTATACCTCTCAAATATATTTTTAGAAAACTAATTGATGATGTTGAAGGCATATCTAAACGAACTACCATCCCGACGAAGGAAAAGCCTAAACGTAAGAATGGAAAACCAGTCGGGCCAACACTTTCTACACAAGGTAATGCTTATCGTCCATGTTTTTATGCAATGAATATATCCTGTATATGCACACCTCTAAATAAGAATTAAGAAGTTAACTATGTATCTGTTTAACAAACAGAAAATGAGTCAAGGGTACAGAACTTACAAACGAGGAAGAGACAACGTGGAAGGAGAGTACTGCAGGATATCTCAAACTTGCCAGATGACGATGATGTTTGGAGGACTTTCGGATGATAACCTGGATGAAGAACGACCACATAACTATCCGGATCTTTTAAACTCTGATGAAGGTGATAATTATATTATGATTTTTACATTGTAAACGTTAGCCTAGATCTGTAACTTATCATGGTGATTTGTATTAACAGACGATGAAGGGGATTACGAACACATTTTCCAATGCAGTAGTCCTGATAGCACAGACACAGAAGATGGTGATAATGATAAATACCAACCTTCTCCATCACATCTGCAACAAACGCATATCTCCGAACAAGAACCTCCTTCGACCGTACACATAGTTCCAACACTTCCTGAGAGTGTGATTACTCAAGAAACTGTTCAACCTTCTCCAACTCTGAAAAAACGAAAGAGAGTGAGTATGGCAAAAAAGAAAGAAACTGTACCCGATAAGATTGGTAAGCTAATTAGCAACAACGTGTTATATGTATGATGCAACATCGAACTTTTTGTATAGTAAATCATGATTTGTATGTTCACTGTGTTGTGCAGTATACAATGACGAGGGTGACATGACTTATTCGTGCGTGCATTGTGGTGCTAAATTTTGGTATGGAGAACGACTAAACAGAAGAAGGAGACGGGGGATCCATCATTCAACCTTTGTTGTATGCACGGCCAAGTCAAATTGCCCTTACTAAAGGATCCTCCTGCTCTTATTAAAAAATTGCTGTTTGGGGATGATGAAATGAGCAGGCACTTTCAAAAATTTATCAGAATCTACAACATGTTGTTCTCTATGACGTCTCTCGGAGGTAAAACTGATCATTCTATCAAGAAAGGAAAGGGTCCAAACATGTTTCAGCTTCACGGAGAAAATTACCACCTAATTGGAAGTATGCTTCCAAACCCCGGTGATTATGCAAAATTCTATCAGATGTACATAGTTGATTCTGAAAATGAATTGGACAACAGACTGAATTTTTTCAGGTAATATATTTTAGTTTAAAGCTATTGTCATAATAATTAGAAGTCATTACCAATTTAGGGTTTTGTCATTGCGTTTCAGTAAGGGGAAACACGCATCCAAGCCAGATAAGAAGAATAGACTCAGGAAGGACATCATTGATGCGCTGACAAAGATGCTCGACGATGTCAACCCCTATGTCAAGAATTTCAGGACTGCAAGAGAAAGATTCAACACTAATCCTGAAGATAGTTTTCATATGAGGATAATTAGTGATCGTGTTACAGATGGTAGAACTTACAATTTCCAACTGTGTCTGAGGTTGCTGCAATTATTCCCGGAGATTTCAATTTAGAAATGGGTACAAGACGGGATATTGTTCTAGAGAAACGATCAGGCAAGCTGCGACGGATAAGCGAAATCCATCCAGCCTACATACCACTGCAATATCCTCTGGGGTTTTCTTATGGAGAAGATGGTTTCCGACTTGGAATTAAGAAAGCCAATGTTGAAGCTTCTAAGAAGACGAAAAAGGAAAACATCAGCGTTAGACAGTTTTTTGCGTATCGTCTAATGGTTAGACCAAACGAGTCAAATCACTTGCTACACTCTAGGAGATTGTTCCAGCAGTATCTGGTTGATACCTACACTATGATAGAGTCTAACAGATTATCCTACTTGAGATTGAACCAGACAAGTTTGAGGTCTGATAGCTACGACTCTATCAAACAAGCGGAAGACCAAGGTGTTATTGAAATGGATGAACAAGGCAATAAATTTCTGCTACCTGCGAGTTTCACTGGTGGACCAAGATACATGAGGGAGTTGTATTTTGACGCCATGGCCATTTGTAGACATCATGGATTTCCAGATCTCTTCATTACTTTTACATGCAATCCTAAATGGACCCGTCTAAGTCCTACTGATAGAGCTGAACTTATTACAAGGGAACTCGCAGGGACCCGTTGATGATAGGATTTTAGTGGATGTGATAAGATATGAGGTGGAATGCAAACAGGGTGAATAAAGATGAATGGTATGGTGCAATCACAATCAATCAATTCCTCTTAACCATCATAGTCATGTAGTATAAGAGGTTATCAATCCAAAATGGGAAACTTGTCACTCTATGAGAATATGAAACACAAGAAAGTCAAGCAAGCAGTAAAGATTTGGGGTAACACTAACAACCTAAATGAACAGAAATGAAATGCAGAAAGTAAATAAAGCAGTAGAGCAACAGCTCGACCAAGGACTCGAGTCGAGTGGAACAGAGTACCGAGCTCGATCGAGTTTAGGGTCGAGTTGAAGTAAAAAGCAATAAAGGCAGCGACTTTAACAAGCTAAAGAAGAATTAGGGTCTAAGACAGGGTTTACAATCAGAGGAAGGCTATACTTAATCAATCTTGCTCTTAAAACCTTGTATCAAGGTATCTCTTGATATTGAGCTTCTCAATGCCTAGCTAACCCTTTCCCAAGGTGAAAGCTATCAACCAAGGATGATCTCAGAAACAGGGGGTTAGCCAGTGAGAATCAAGCCTTGGAGGCCATAGGATCATTGCTCAAACTAATCCATCCAACCCCTTAGACCTCCATTTCTAGAGCAAGAGATATTGGAGCTCTTAGTGGACCTTTTCCAACGATTTCCATCACTTCCATGTGGAGAATCGCCTATGGACATACAAGCCAGGGGTAGTGGTCATGTAGCCTTAAGATTGTCCAAAAGAGAGAGATTTCTAGATTAAGACATAAGCAAGAAGGATTAAGCATAAAATCCTCTAATCTATCCCATCTCAAACCCTAATGGGTAACTACTCACTACACATGAATGTAAACACAAGCAAATGCAATAAAAGAGACATCATAAGAAAGAGGAGATGAAATAAACAACTTTTATTGAAATAAGCAAGTGCAAATACAAAGAGATTATCCAGGATCTAGGATTCAAGAAGCAAGAGCTTCAAGAACACAAAGATGGGATTAGAGCTCTAAAAAGTAAAAGACAATAAATTAAAAGAACTAAAACAAAAGTAATCTAAAGCTTGGTGGTTTTTTCGTGGCTTTTAGCCTTTAAATACAAGAGGATTTAGGTTTAGGGTCAAAGGAAAGTCAAGGGGGAAGCAACATTTTTCGGGTTTGACTGTTGACTTCTCAGCTCGATCGAGTTGAAGCTTGGCCGGTCGAGTTGAGGAACTCGACCGGTTGGTCGAGTAGTGGTCGAGCTGGTCTTCAAGATGGCTTCCTCCTTCTTCCTTTGCGTATCCAGTTGAGCTGCGTCCATGTGCCAAGTCCTCCATGCTCCTCACGTCCCATATGCTCCAGAATGCTCCAAAAGACCTATTTCAAAGGACCAAACATGCATATGTATGCAAATGCAACCTAAAACTACTATGAATGCATAAGAAGAGAAAAGGAACAAGATATGATGCTAATGGATGCTAAAACTATGCAAAAGATGCATAAAAGATGTACTAAAACTATGTAAAATGCAAGTACATCAACACCCCCAAACTTGACCTTTGCTTGCCCTCAAGCAAACAAATAGAACAAGAAAGAGATGAGGTTTGAAAACAGTTGATTCAACACTTAAAAACATGTCCTCAAAAGCGATTTGCTAAATGTCCAACTTAGAGATTCTAGAATGCAACAAGGTGAGAGATATTCATTAAGATTTAACCATGCTTATCAACATCAATCCCACTTCACAGTCACTCAAACAATGCATTCAAATCAGCAAATCCCTTTAACATTCATTAAGCAAAAACAGTGAACCAAAAACATGCAAGATCAATCAACTCATTTGGTTTCAAGGGTTTATGGGTTAAGAGACAAAGAGGGTCTCTTTTGTATGGTGGTTTAGTAACAGGGATCTCTCAAGAAAGTGGCTTTGCTTTGGCAGAAGGCTAAGTGTTAGAACCAAAGATGATGCAAGAACAGCAGCTCGAGCCGTCTAATCCTAACTCGATCGAGTTCAACACTTAGAGCTTTTTAGAACAAAATCCTAACTACCCTTTTTGGCATTTCGCCTTTGAAACTGAGGAGCTTTGCTCACTTTTCTTTTAAGAACTTCCTAGGGAGAGGCTTCTTGAGGTAACATCTAGCGGTTTGGGATTTTCTAAACACTTAGGGAACTTTTCTTTCTTTTTGACACTTGAGGCTTTGCCTTCTTTTCATTCTACTTAGAACCCTTTTTACTTCCTTTTTTAACTTCCCAAACCTTTACTAGACCCTTTTTAACACTGCCAACTCCCTGGACTTAACTAAACTCTTTTTCCTTTGGATTTTCCCAACTTTTACCACTTTTCTGGTTTTTACACCCAACTCGATCGAGCTCGAGTTGGCACCCCCAAACTTAGCCTGAAAACAATCCCAAGAGAACTAGACAACTAGAACTACTGCCCCTGCCGGTTTAAACACAACACCTTATGCTAAGCAAAGCCAAGAAAGGTTCTCACATTCGCACAAGAGATAAATGGGGTTTGAAATGAAAAGGCTTAGGTTTAAGGTGTGGTAACTGTCTCAAAGATAGAGATCAGCTATCTGGACAAGCAAGAGGGATATGAAATGGTAAAGAATGTCCAGATATGTATGTGGTAGCCATGAGTTGAAATCAAATGCAAGCATTGGTAATTAAAGATCAAGTTATGGTTCAAATAGATAGGGAAATGCATCAAATCACAGCAATGGTTGAATGAGATGTGCATGCAGTGATATGATCAAGATAAACATGGTTCTTGCTGCTCAATCAATCTCACCCTAATGCACAAGAGAATCTAAAAACAGGGCACTCAAGAAATCGCAAATGATGAACAAGTTTTCAAAGTCAAATCAACAATGCAAGTGAAAGATGCAATCCTAAACAAGTCTAACAAATATGAATGCAAAAAGATGAAAATATTTTTGGATTTTTTGAAAATTTTATGATTTTTTTGGTTTTTCTATGCAAAAGATGAATGAAAAACTAAGAACAAAGAAAACAAGGTTAAATCATCTCTTGAACCCTCCCCCAAACTTAAATCACACAGTCCCTTGTGTGAGAGAAATTTAGTGAAAGATTCAAGAGGGCAAAACCAAGAAAAAAAAAACAAAGCAAGAAAATATGAAATGGTATGTACAAGGGTTGTGTTTGATACCTCAGTGCCCCCCAAAGAACTGGGAGGCAAGGTCGTGGTCTGGAGATGGTAGACGGCCATCAGGAGCACTCCACTCGACTGGGTTCGCCTCGCTCGATCGAGCTTGCGGCTCCTCTTCTTCCTCTTCTTCATTGAAGTGTGTGTGGCTCCCTTGGCCTTGGTGGAGCTGGCTAGCTCGAACTGTCCATAGGGGTTCCATCTACTCTGAGGGTCTCCTGGTAAGGCGTTGGATCGTACTCGAATCCGGGTTCTCAAACTGGGCTCCTCCAGGTCAACTCGACCGTCAGCTCGATCGAGTTGAGTTTCCTCTGTTTGGACTCGATCGAGTCCGGTGGTCGAGCTGGAGCGTCTGGCCTTAGAGCTCTTCCTCCTTCTCTGTGAGTTGTCTTCTCCCTTCCCTTGGCTCGAATGAAGAGGCTCTGTGAGGCTCTTGGGCAGGAGCCTCCTTGGAGTGGTGAGAAGGATCTACTCCTAAGGAATGTGGAACTCATGGGCCTTCTTCTTCTTGCTTGAAGAACCAGAAACCTTCTTCTCCAAACTTTTGATCTTGCTCACCATCTTGTCCATGGACTTTTGCATCTTTTCAATGGCTTTCCCTTGCCATTTGTTGAACTTTTGGAGAAGTCCAATCCTCTTGTGGGCAGCCACAACAGAGGGGTTCATCCTTGGAGCCTCATACTCCTCAAAATAATAGCACTCAGGCTCACCCAAATCCGCTCTCCTGGACTCGATCCTCAGCTTGAGACTCAGCTCGATCCTCAGCTCGATCGAGCTCAGGCTCCTCTTCTCGCAAATCGTCCTCATGCCCAACTAGTGTACACAGGGGGTCTGAAATCAATGTTCTCACCCCTGTGGTGAGCTCTGGGTTAGGCAGGAGAAGCTTGGAAGGGCCAGCCAATGGATGGTGAACTTGAATTGGAACTCCCATCCAACTCCTTGTGCTCAATGAGAAGGTTGGTCTTGCAAAACTTGATGTCCATCCAACCTGGTTCAGTGGCTTCTTATCAGTTGGGTTCACTCCAGCAGCACACAAGATAGGAGTGATGAGCCCTCCAACACTTAGGCGCCTCCCTCGTTGATGTCTAGTGTTGTAGGCTGTGGTCTTGTAGGTGAGGAGATGATCAAGGAAAGGCATCAGGTTCCCTGTGTTGGATCTATCTCCCCTGATCCTCTTGCCATCGCTTGTGCGTGAGAGAATGGGCTTGATTCCCATGTCAAGAAACTTGAGTTCCCCCTCGTTGATGGTCCCGGTGCCTTCCTTGCAAAGAAGGTGTTGGCAAGTGCCTTGTGCACATATCTCAACACTGGGCTCCTGATTTGAGCAGCCTTAGACCTTGAGGAAGAGTACTCTCCATCAGCGATTGTAGCCCAAACCCTTTGGAGTTCCTTCTCCTTGAAGTTCCACTTGGTACCTTCTCCATAGTTGAACCCAAATAAGATCTCCAACTGCCTAAAGGTCACCATTCTCTTCTCTCCCTTAGCCAAGAACGTGATCCATCCCAATCCTTGGTCCAAATCAGCTCTATCTTCCTCTGTACATGTGGTACCTCATTGAAGCTAAGAACTCGCAAGTGAGCTCCTTGTAGGATTCCATGTGATAAGAGAAGAGTTTGGCCAAGTGCATGTTCTTGAGAACTAGCTCCACATCTTCAAAGATTCCAAGGGCCTTCATTGTGTCAACATGTGGGTACTTGGTATCCATAAAGTCCATGGAGAAGAGGGCATTGTAGTGCTCTTGGTACATAGGGAGTTCTTCTTCCTCCTCTTGTGGCTCTCTTGTGGCTCAACCTCCTCCATAGGTTCATCTTGGTTACTCTCTTGCTCACTCTCTTCAACCAACTGATTCACCTCTTCTCCTTCCTCTTCACTCTCAGTCTCATCACTTCCTTCTTCGCTTGGAGAGCCACTTCCCTCCTCTTGAACAAGGTTCACTCCAATCTCAAACTCCCCTTGCTCACTCTCACTACTAATGGGGTCATTCCTCTTCTTGGTCCTCCTCTCCTCCCTCAATCTCTCGCTCTCAGACTCTTCCTCAGAGTACACATACTCCTCTGCATCAGACTCTTCCATCCTTTGAGTCATCCTCTCCAAATCGGCTTGCATTTTAAGCCTTCTTTCCCTTGCATTGCTCGATTCACTGATGTACTTGCATTTTACATAGTTTTAGCACATCTTTTATGCATCTTTTGCATAGTTTTAGCTTCCATTTGCATCATATCTTGTTCCTTTTCTCTTCTTATGCATTCATGTTAGTTTTAGGTTGCATTTGCATACATATGCATGTTTGGTCCTTTGAAATAGGTCTTTTGGAGCATTCTGGAGCATATGGGACATAAGGAGCATGGAGGGACTTGGCACATGGAAGCAGCTCAACTGGATACGCAAAGGAAGAAGGGAGAAGCCATCTTGAAGACCAGCTCGACCGTCCACTCGACCAACCGGTCGAGTTCCTCAACTCGACCGGCCAAGCTTCAACTCGATCGAGCTGGAAGTCAAAGTCAAACCCGAAAAATGTTGCTTCCCCCTTGACTTTCCTTTGACCCTAAACCTAATCCTCTTTGTATTTAAAGGCTCTAAGCCACGAAAAAACCACCAAGCTTTAGATTATTTTGTTTTAGTTTCTTTTAATTTATTGTCTTTTACTTTTTAGAGATCTAATCCCATCTTTGTGTTCTTGAAGCTCTTGCTTCTTGAATCTAGATCCTGGATAATCTCTCTTGTATTTGCACTTGCTTATTTCAATAAAAGTTGTTTATTTCATCTCCTCTTTCTTATGATGTCTCTTTTATTGCATTTGCTTGTGTTTACATTCATGTGTAGTGAGTAGTTACCCATTGGGGTTTGAGATGGGATAGATTAGAGGTTTCATATGCTTAATCCTTCTAGCTTATGGTCTTAATCTAGATTCTCTCTCTTTTGGATAGATCTTAAGGCTACATGACCACTACCCCTGGCTTGTAAGTCCTTAGGCGACTCCCCACACGAAAGTGATGGCATTCGCTGGAAAAGATCCACTAAGAGCTCCAATATCTCTTGCTCTAGACAATAGAGGTCTAAGGGGTTGGATGGATTAGTTTGGGCAATGATCCTATAGCCTCCAAGGTTTGATTCTCACTGGCTAACCCCCTGTTTCTGAGATCATTCCTTGGTTGATAGCCTCCACCTTGGGAAAGGGTTGGCTAGGCATTGAGAAGCCCAATATCAAGAGAAGCCTTGATACAAGGAGTTTTAAGAGCTAGATTGATTAAGTGTAGATTCCTTTGATTGCAAAACCCTGTCTTGAACCCTAATTCTCTCTTTATCTTGTTAAAGTCGTCACCTTTAGCTTTGTTTGTCTCAACTCGTCCCTAAACTCGATCGAGCTGGTACTTTGCTCTGACTCGACTCGAGCTCTTGGTCGAGCTGACACTTCACTGCTTTGTTTACTTTTATTGCACTGCTTTTCATTTTTTTAGGTTGTTAGTGTTACTTCAAATCTTAACTGCTTGCTTGACTTCCTGGTTGTTTCATATTCTCAAGAGTGACAAGTTTCCCATTTTGGATTGATAACCCTTTGTACTACATCAACTATCATGGTTAAAGGGAATTGTTGACTGTGTTTGTGTTTGCATCTTACCACTCATCATATACCACTGATTGCATTCCACTCATCTCATTTCATATCTTTTCACATCCACACACAAATCCTATCATCATTCACCCTCAACCATTCTCCTTTGTGAAGCGCGACTTCCCTCACTGTTTGTCATCTGTGTTACACTGTTGATGATAGGATTTGTGTGTGGATGTGAAAAGAATGAAATGATGATGGTGGAATGCAATCAGTGGTATATGATGAGGTGGTAAGATGCAAACACAAACACAGTCAACAATTCCCTTTAACCATGATAGTTGATGTAGTACAAAGGGTTATCAATCCAAAATGGGAAACTTGTCACTCTTTGAGAATATGAAACAACCAGAAAGTCAAGCAAGCAGTTATAGATTTGAAGTAACACTAACAACCTAAAAAAATGAAAAGCAGTGCAATAAAAGTAAACAAAGCAGTGAAGTATCAGCTCGACCAAGAGCTCGAGTCGAGTCAGAGCAAAGTACCAGCTCGATCGAGTTTAGGGACGAGTTGAGACAAACAAAGCTAAAGGTGACGACTTTAACAAGATAAAGAGAGAATTAGGGTTCAAGACAGGGTTTTGCAATCAAAGGAATCTACACTTAATCAATCTAGCTCTTAAAACTCCTTGTATCAAGGCTTCTCTTGATATTGGGCTTCTCAATGCCTAGCCAACCCTTTCCCAAGGTGAGGCTATCAACCAAGGAATGATCTCAGAAACAGGGGGTTAGCCAGTGAGAATCAAACCTTGGAGGCTATAGGATCATTGCCCAAACTAATCCATCCAACCCCTTAGACCTCTATTGTCTAGAGCAAGAGATATTGGAGCTCTTAGTGGATCTTTTCCAGCGAATGCCATCACTTTCGTGTGGGGAGTCGCCTAAGGACTTACAAGCCAGGGGTAGTGGTCATGTAGCCTTAAGATCTATCCAAAAGAGAGAGAATCTAGATTAAGACCATAAGCTAGAAGGATTAAGCATATGAAACCTCTAATCTATCCCATCTCAAACCCCAATGGGTAACTACTCACTACACATGAATGTAAACACAAGCAAATGCAATAAAAGAGACATCATAAGAAAGAGGAGATGAAATTAAACAACTTTTATTGAAATAAGCAAGTGCAAATACAAGAGAGATTATCCAGGATCTAGGATTCAAGAAGCAAGAGCTTCAAGAACACAAAGATGGGATTAGATCTCTAAAAAGTAAAAGACAATAAATTAAAAGAAAGCTAAAACAAAATAATCTAAAGCTTGGTGGTTTTTTCGTGGCTTAGAGCCTTTAAATACAAAGAGGAGGGTCAAAGGTCAAGGGGGAAGCAACATTTTTCGGGTTTGACTTTGACTCCAGCTCGATCGAGTTGAAGCTTGGCCGGTCGAGTTGAGGAACTCGACCGGTTGGTCGAGTGGACGGTCGAGCTGGTCTTCAAGATGGCTTCTCCCTTCTTCCTTTGCGTATCCAGTTGAGCTGCTTCCATGTGCCAAGTCCCTCCATGCTCCTTTGTCCCATATGCTCCAGAATGCTCCAAAAGACCTATTTCAAAGGACCAAACATGCATATGTATGCAAATGCAACCTAAAACTAACATGAATGCATAAGAAGAGAAAAGGAACAAGATATGATGCAAATGGAAAGCTAAAACTATGCAAAAGATGCATAAAAGATGTGCTAAAACTATGTAAAATGCAAGTACATCAACACCCCCAAACTTGAACTTTGCTTGCCCTCAAGCAAACAAATAGAACAAGAAAGAGATGAGGTTTGAAAATAGCTGATTCAACACTTAAAAACATGTCCTCAAAAGCGATTTGCTAAATGTCCAACTTAGAGATTCTAGAATGCAACAAGGTGAGAGATATTCATTAAGATTTAACCATGCTTATCAACATCAATCCCACTTCACAGTCACTCAAACAATGCATTCAAATCAGCAAATCCCTTTAACATTCATTAAGCAAAAACAGTGAACCAAAAACATGCAAGATCAATCAACTCATTTGGTTTCAAGGGTTTATGGGTTAAGAGACAAAGAGGGTCTCTTTTGTATGGTGGTTTAGTAACAGGGATCTCTCAAGAAAGTGGCTTTGCTTTGGCAGAAGGCTAAGTGTTAGAACCAAAGATGATGCAAGAACAGCAGCTCGAGCCGCCTAATCCTAACTCGATCGAGTTCAACACTTAGAGCTTTTTAGAACAAAATCCTAACTACCCTTTTTGGCATTTCGCCTTTGAAACTGAGGAGCTTTGCTCACTTTTCTTTTAAGAACTTCCTAGGGAGAGGCTTCTTGAGGTAACATCTAGCGGTTTGGGATTTTCTAAACACTTAGGGAACTTTTCTTTCCTTTTTGGACACTTGAGGCTTTGCCTTCTTTTCATTCTACTTAGAACCCTTTTTACTTTCCTTTTTTAACTTCCCAAACCTTTACTAGACCCTTTTAAACACTGCCAACTCCCTGGACTTAACCAAACTCTTTTTCCTTTGGGTTTTTCCCAACTTTTACCACTTTTCTGGTTTTTACACCCAACTCGATCGAGCTCGAGTTGGCACCCCCAAACTTAGCCTGAAAACAATCCCAAGAGAACTAGACAACTAGAACTACTGCCCCTGCCGGTTTAAACACAACACCTTATGCTAAGCAAAGCCAAGAAAGGTTCTCACATTCGCACAAGAGATAAAATGGGGTTTGAAATGAAAAAGGCTTAGGTTTAAGGTGTGGTAACTGTCTCAAAGATAGAGATCAGCTATCTGGACAAGCAAAAGGGATATGAAAATGGTAAAGAATGTCCAGATATGTATGTGGTAGCCATGAGTTGAAATCAAATGCAAGCATTGGTAATTAAAGATCAAGTTATGGTTCAAATAGATAGGGAAATGCATCAAATCACAGCAATGGTTGAATGAGATGTGCATGCAGTGATATGATCAAGATAAACATGGTTCTTGCTGCTCAATCAATCTCACCCTAATGCACAAAAGAATCTAAAAACAGGGCACTCAAGAAATCGCAAAAGATGGACAAGTTTTCAAAGTCAAATCAACAATGCAAGTGAAAAATGCAATCCTAAACAAGTCTAACAAATATGAATGCAAAAAGATGAAAATATTTTTGGATTTTTTGAAAATTTTATGATTTTTTTGGTTTTTCTATGCAAAAGATAAATGAAAAACTAAGAACAAAGAAAACAAGGTTAAATCATCTCTTGAACCCTCCCCCAAACTTAAATCACACAGTCCCTTGTGTGAGAAAAATTCAGTGAAAGATTCAAGAGGGCAAAACCAAGAAAAAACAAGAACAAATGCAAGAAAATATGAAATGGTATATACAAGGGTTGGTGTTTGGATACCTCAGTGTCCCCCAAAGAACTGGGAGACTAGGTCGTGGTCTGGAGATGGGAGACGGCCATCAGGAGCACTCCATGCAACTGGGGTTGCCTCTTGGGCTCACTCGATCGAGCTTGTGGCTCCTCTTCCTCCTCTTCTTCATCTTCAAAGTGTGTGGCTTCCTTGGCCTTGGTGGAGCATTGGTAGCTCGAACTGTGTAGGGGTCCATCTACTGGGGAAGTCCTGGTAAGGCTGGGATCGTACTCGAATCCCGGATTCTCAAACTGGGGCTCCTCCAGGTCAACTCGACCGTCAGCTCGATCGAGTTGAGTTTCCTCTGTTTGGACTCGATCGAGTCCGGTGGTCGAGCTGGAGCGTCTGGCCTTGGAAGTCTTCCTCCTTCTCTGCGTGTTGTCTTCTCCTTCCCTTGGCTCGAAAGAAGAGGCTCTGTGAGGCTCTTGGGCAGGGAGCCTCCTTGGAGTGGTGAGGAGATCTACTCCTAGGGAATGTGGGGGCCTTGGACTTCTTCTTCTTGCTTGAAGAACCAGAAACTTTCTTCTCCAAACTTTGATCTTGCTCACCATCTTGTCCATGGACTTTTGCATCTTCTCATGGCTTTCCCTTGCCACTTGTTGAACTTTTGGAGAAGTCCAATCCTCTTGTGGCAGCCACAACAGAGGGGTTCATCCTTGGAGCCTCATACTCCTCAAAGTAATAGCACTCAGGCTCACCCAAATCCGCACTCTCCTGGCCTGATCTTCAGCTCGATCCTCAGCTCGATCCTCAGCTCGATCAGCTCGATCTCTCGCAAATCATCCTCATGCCCAACTAATGTGTACACAGGGGGTCTGAAGTCAATGTTCTCACCCCTTACTACTGTGGTGAGCTCAGGGTTAGGCAGGAGAAGCTTGGAGGGTCCAGCCAATGGATGTGTGAACTTGAATTGGAACCTCCCATCCAACTCCTTGTGCTCAATGAGAGGTTGGTCTTGCAAAACTTGATGTCCATCCAACCTGGTTCAGTAGCTCTCTTATCAGTTGGGACTCCAGCAGCACACAAGATAGGTGTGATGAGCCCTCCAACACTAAGCTTCCCTCGTTGTGCCTAGTGTTGTAAGCTGTGATCTTGTAGGTAGGAGTGGTCAAGGAAGGCATCAAGTTCCCTGTGTCAGATCTATCTCCCCTGATCCTCTTGCCATCGCTTGTGCGTGAGAGAAGGGCTTGATTCCCATGTCAAGAAACTTGAGTTCCCCTCGTTGATTGTCCCGGTCGCCTTCCTTGCAAAGAAGGTGTTGGCAAGTGCCTTGTGCACATATCTCAAGCACTGGGCTCCTGATCTGAGCTGCCTTGGACCTTGAGGAAGAGTACACTCCATCAGCGATTGTAGCCCAAACCCTTTGGAGTTCTTTTCCTTGAAGTTCCACTTGGTTCCCTCTCCATAGTTGAACCCAAACAAGATCTCCAAGCTGCCTAAAGGTCACCATTCTCTTCTCTCCCTTAGCCAAGAACGTGATCCATCCCAATCCTTGGTCCAATCAGCTCGATCTTCCTCTCATACATGTGGATACCTCATTGAAGCTAAGAACTCACAAGAACTTGGCCAAGTGCATGTTCTTGAGACCAACTCCACATCCTCAAAGATTCCAAGGCCTTCATGTGTCATCATGTGGGTACTTGGTCTCACAAAGTCCATGGAGAAGAGAGCATCATAGTGCTCTTGGTACATGGGGAGCTCATCCTCTCTTCCTCTGACTCCTCTCTTCCATGGGCACATTCTCATTGCTCCCATGCTCATTCTCCTCAATCTCTTGATTGACCTCTTCTCCTCTTCTTCACTTGGGAGTCATCATTCTCCTCTTGGGTGTTCACTCCAATTTCAAACTCTCCTCTTCGCTCTCACTACTGATAGGATCATTCCTTCTTTGGTTCTCCTTCTTCCCTCAATCTCCTCTCAGACCTCCTCAGAGTCATCCTCTCATCTGCTTTCCTCTTGATCTCATCCTCATCTTGCTCCTTTCTCTTCTTCTTGCTCTCCTGTCTGAATGCTGCTTGCTTCCTTCACCTCTCAACATCTTACTTGTTGCTCTTGAGTTGGGTCCTGAAATGCATCAAAACTCAAAGAATTAGAGTTGTAATGATCGGTTCGGTCAACTCGACACTCAGCTCGATCGAGTCAAAAAACTCGAGTGACAAACTCGATCGAGTTGGGTGAAAACAGAGTATAACCAAACCTAATTCAAGTATTAAGAGCTGGAAAAGATGCTAATCAATCAAATTGAACCAAGAACACTAGTAAATGGAACAATGAGCAATTCTAGTGAACTAGCATTTAACCAATACCAAACTCAAATTCAATTTCAAGCACATGCAACAAGTTTAAGGAAAAACAGAGGTGAGGTGAAGCAAATTCACAAGATTATACAAATATGAAGAAAAAGGGCAATTACTCAAGCAAGTCCACAAGGGACACATGCAATCAAAAATCAAAGGAAACAAGCAATAGGAAATCGAGATGAAGATCAAGGGTTTAGGGTTCATACCTTGCTTGGATGATGGAAGAAGACAGTAAACAAGAACTAAGCAAAAGAGAAGAAGCAAAGAGAAATCGCAAAAACTTAGAGAGAAAAGAGAAATCGATTTTTCTTGTGGTGATGAGAGAGAGAGATGATTTCAGAAATTTAAGATTGTGGGAGAGAGAGAGGTGGATTCGATCGAGTTATGGGGAAGAGGAGTTGTTTGAGATGTGTGGTTGAGATTAAAAGATGAAATAAAGAGGGAACAAGAAGCTAGGGATTCTCTGATCAATTAGGGTAGTGGGGGACCAAAATCAGCTTGTGGGACCCACTCCCTTGACCAAGAAAACGGTTATGAATTTGAAATTCAAAAACTTACCTCGGTCGAGTTGAGGAACTCGATCGAGTTGCCCTGGTTTCTAGCTCGATCGAGCTGTCGGTCGAGCTGGCTCCTTGACACCTAAACTTAACTTATTCAAAGGTTAAAACACAAAACTAGATAGAAATTGCATAAATAGAGTATGTACAAGGATAAACATGGGACTTCCTCCCAAGTGAGCTTGTTTAAGGTCCCATAGCTTGACCTTTACCTTCTTAGGCATTGGTTGAGCTAGTCCCACCATCAAGGGTGATAGTGAGGACTTGAGACAGAAGCTCCTTTAGCTTGGTTGGGTCCCTGGACTGTTCTGAAGTCACCAAGGCCTTGGCTCTAGAGAATGGCCTTGATCTCCCCTTGTACCTTATCTTGTACTCAATCTTCCCATTTTCAAACTTGGTGGGGAACAAAGTCATTGTGAGCTGAGATGGCTTGACTGAAGGGGCCTGAGCTGGTGGATCCTTTCTTTTATCTCCTGGTCTTGCCTTAGAGGCTGCATCCTCCCCTTCTTGTAGAGCCCTTCCTAGTGGCTCATCAAACAAAGCTTGAAGGCTCTCTTCATCAAGCACACAAGGGGCTTGAACAAGTCGCTCAGCTCTTGGCCTATCAGATCGTGGTTTCTCAACTCTAGCCCTCTCAAGACGTGGCTTCTCAATCCTTGGTCCTCTCTCATCCTTATCCTTCCCAACTCTTGGTTCCTTGTCAACCCTTTCCTTCACAACCTTTGTAGCTCCATGACTCTTAGAACTGAGATTGGTACTGTCAATTGTGGCACAAAAGTCTGAACCTCTAGGCTGCAAGCGATATGACACCAAACTATTCACCTTGTGAAGGATCACTTCTTGCTTGTGAAAGTCATTGAAGCGCCAACTGTACTAAGGAAAGGGGTTCCCAATAGCAAAGGCAAATCCTTCTCTTCTTCCATTTCCATCACAGTGAGATCAGTTTGGATGATGCATTCTCCAATTTTCAAGTGATAGTTCTTGAACACTCCAAGAGGAGACTTAGAAGTTGCATCTCCAAACATGATTGAAGTAGTAGGGCGCTGCAAGGCTCCAGCAATGCCTAGCTTCTCTGCCATGGAGAGAGAGATCAGATTGATGCTTGCTCCAGAATCCACTAAGGCATTGTCAATCTCAAGATGCCCAAGTGTGCAAGGGAGAGTGAATTTCCCTTGATCCTTGACCTTTGGTAGGAAGGTGGGTGAAGTAAGCAGGTTGAACTGATGAGTAGACTCTTGTAGGACCTCTGAAACTTTATCACTGTTGGCTAGAACATCCTTGACCATTTGCATTTGATCAAATGCCTCACTCATGCTATCCATAGTAGGCAACTCAATTCCAATCCCACTGAGATCTCTTCTGAACTTGTGAATCACTTCCTTGTGACCTTGACTAAGTAGGCGAGACGAGGAAGCGGCAACCGGTTGATAAGGATCAAGCAAAACAGGCTGTCGGACAGAAGAGGTCGGACTCGATCGAGCTAGAGTTGGACTCGATCGAGCTGCCGATCGAGCTTGTCGTGCGAGCTCAACTGGTGAAGTGTGAATGGCCACAGTAGGTGCATGCACTTCTGGTTGATCAATCTGGACTCCAGGAGCCTCAGCAGCAACAATCTCTTCATCATTCAGCAGTAAACAAAAATCTTCAATGACCCTTTCTTGATCCTCTTCTTCAACAAGTCCTTCTTGAGTGAAGATGACCTTGCACTGTTCCTTGGGGTTCTGAATAGCTTTACCAGGTAGTTGTCCTTGCTTTGTAGCAGCAGCAACAGAAGAAGCATGATTCTCCAGAGAGTAAACCCTTGTGTTGAGGTTCTCGATCTTAGAGTTTATTTCAGCTAGCTTCTTGCTTGTGTCCACTACCCCATCAGCTTGCCCTTGAAGTAGTTGCTTTAGCATTGCCTTGAGCTCATTCTCTTGTGAAGGTGCAGGCTGGGGCGGTTGGTGGGGGAAGCCTGGTGGGATATTCATTTGTTGTCCAGGGAAAGTGCCTTGTGGTCCTTGGTAATTGTTCTTTTG